ACCCAACGTGGGGTTCTCACATTTGGAGAGAACCCCACGTAGGGTTCTCCTGCCACATCAGCAGCCGGGCAGGATAAGCCTGCCCGCCGCGGGCAGGAGAACATTTTCGTTAACTCAATACTGATTAGTTGTCTCAATTTGTATTTTATAATGTCATTAGGAAAGCACAAATCCAACTTAAGGAAATTAAGTAAACTCGTGCAGAGTCCTCGTAGGAGATCATGGAGCCGGCCTTACAAACGAGTGGTTCTTGCCTGCTGGTGCAGTTATGGTGCAAGTAGAACTAATCGGCTTGGAATGGCCTGTAACGACTTATTATGGGGATCCAACCCATGCAACGGAAGTGCATTATCTGCCATGCACGATCGAACCGGAGGTGAGCTCATTTTTGGAAGTTTTCGAACGAAATCATACAGTGTTTAGGGACTGCAAATCCTTAAGCTTTGAAGTAGGCAGGGAGGTATATCTTTAACGATCAACATTTAAGGATTAATCTTGAAAGGTTTAGGTATCATTTTAACCATGCATTACAGGAGATTCACAATTTTTATCAATTTTTTTAAATTTTTGTCGAACAAACCCTCAATGTGAGCATTTGCTTTTAGTTAATTAAAAGAAATTTAAAATTTGTATAATAGTTTCCAAATAAAATTATGAAATACAATTAATATCTTAAAAACATTATTAAGAGCCTGTTTGGTACAAATTCTCATTTTCTACAGTAAATCAATTCTCATTTTCAACCACACATTCTTCAATAAAATAATATTTTTCATCACATCAATACTTTTTTCTTCTTTTTCAACCACACATTTCTCATCATATCACTATTCAAAAATCAATTCTTCCCCCAAAAATTCCTACCAAACACACTCTAAGGATTTGTTTGAGCACCAGTTTTTGTAATAGTAAATTTTTGGAGAATATGTGATTAGAAAGTAAAAATAAATAAATGAATTAGGTTTACGTATAAAAATATTTCATTGAGAGAATGTGAGATTAAAAATAATTTTGAAGTAATTTGAATTTTTAAATAATGAGGATCAAACAAGAGCTAAGGACACGTTCTCTCTATTGTTTTCAAACCATTTTCAATTTTCAATTTTTCAAAACAGTTAAATTATTTCCTATTTTCGAAAATGAGCTTTTGAAAACAAGTTAAAAATTTACCAAAAAAATCAAAAACGACAAATTTGTCGTTTTGGGTGTTCTAAGTTATAATCAGCCAAAATTTTCAAAACATATTTTGAGAGTTTTCAATCACCGCTAACCACCACCGAGAGAGGGGGGAGGGGAAAGTAAACGAGTTTTCTATTTTTTTGATTTTTGAAAACAAATTTTTAAAATGTCAAAAAGAACACATTTTCAATAATCTCAAAATGGATACTCAAAACACAAAACTCAAAATACAAAATTGAGAACAACTTGTTTCTTTACAAATAATTGACAAATGAATTTTGACATTTGAATGAAGTTCAAAGTTTAAATTTCTTTTCTTCTATCTAGTTCGACTATTAGATCAATCTAGTTTATTCTTTATAAAAAATACAAAAGTTAATCTTGATAAAAATTATAAATTTAAAATAAGAAAAAGGAACACGAGAAAATAAAATAAAAAGTCGTTCGAATTCTATTGTTCTTTAGAAAACACACTTGCGATGCAAATTTGAAGTAATTAATCATTCACATTACTTTTACAAAGCAAAAAATTGTACAGGATGCAGACAAATTAATTATTTTACGTTACCACAATGAAGAGTAAATACGTGTTCTAAGCAAAAAAAAAAAAAGGTGCATGCTCATATATAATAACTCACTTCCCTGCAAAACTTTCATTTCCCATGTTGCTGTCACTGCTATTTTTCGGAGATTTTTTACTGTCAATACCAATATTTGGGTTTAGATTGCCAATGATGGAGCTTAAGGCTTCTGCTATGGCCGCAGTAAAATTTGGGTCCGAGGCAATGGCAGCAGTAGCTGCATTCGTCATATCGTGAGAGCTTTCACTGCCAAAAAATGCAGCATCAGAGACTCGGGGGAGAAATCTCGAATGGTTGCGAAGAGCATGGGCAATGGCCTGTGGCCCATGGCCCAAGTCTCGAGTGAATTGGCCTGGTAGCATTTGCCAGTGTGAATGAGTGGTGGGAGTGGTTGTGAAATCTAATGTAACAGTAGGGAATGGTGCTGAAGCTGAAATTGATGCAAAATTTGTTGAGTAAGGAAGAACAGTTCTAGTGATCATGTTAGGGTTCATGAATCCATCGGCACTTGGCATTGGCCCTGATAGCAACATCGATGCGGCTGCAGAGGTAGCGGCGGCCATTGACATGGCGGCTGGCGGTAGCGGATGGTTGTGGTTGCCCTCATAAGTGGTTATAAGTACCGAACGATCTTCTACGCACCTTTGCACCTGTCACATAAATATAGCCTCCTATAATTTACACTTCAACAAATAATAATGTTCCCTCCTACACAACTTAAGCATTGCAACCATCTTATATCATAGTGAGAAATCTAGTAACCAACACGAACTAAAAGTATAAAACCCTAATCAGTTGCTTGCACGACGACATTCTAAGCCTTTTAGACGAGTTAAATGCATATTAATATGATTCAAAAGATGTAAATAAAGTAAAATAATAACAAGAAGAAAGCATTAATAATAAGAGTGATGAACCCTACTTGTTTGCGTACTGGACAACCAACAGCCATGGTACAACGATAATAAGCTCTGGGGAAGGGGTTCCCTTTTGCCATTTTTTGCCCATACTTTCTCCATTGGCATCCATCAGAGATCTGTACACAGGTCAATATAAATATTTGAGTGTGCATCATGGAATAAAATTGAACATATATATAATAGACAAAATTTTTTATTTTTCTTAATTATTTGACTTACTATAGGTGCCTCTGATCGTGCTCGAACCGAGACACGGGCCTTTTTCATTGTCGCTTCTGCAGCTTGATCCGTATCCTTGGAAGAAGAATTAAATTTTGGTACTTTATTTGGAATCCATTCTTGAAAATTCTTTTCTGGGCTCTTTTCTCTGTTTGAATTCTTCTGCAATTCATTAGCCATTGACTTCTCCATACACTTGGGGACCAAAAATCGCTGTTTTTCTTCTTCTGTCATCACATCATTAATCTATCAAAATATCGCAAAAAAAGATGATCAAATTGATGGCCCAAAGTTCTCTCTTATAGTTTGATATTGATTAAGACTAAACAGTATAATCGTAGCAATATATATGTATACCTTTCCATCTCCTGTGCTAATTGCACCTTTTAGATTTTGTTGATGCTGTAAGATTGTTCCAATTTGAATTTGTAAAGAATAATATTTACTGTTTATTTGATCCAATATAGCTCTTAATCGTTCATTTTCCAAGTTCACACGATCAAACTCAGACTTGAGAACTAAAAACTGCACAAGAATCAAGCTTCAAGTCAAAGAACAACACGATTAAATAATAAACTCTTCACACAATAGGATCATTCGGTCTTACTTCCTTGGAAATTCCCCGCGATTCGTTATTAACTGCAGTAGATTTGTCACCGGCCGATACGTTTGTCGTCAGAAGATTCAAACCAGTCTATAATCATAAAAACATCGAAAAATAAAACATTGATCTCCCAGAAAAAAAATAGTTTTCATAAGAATAATTAGCATACGCTTATGTTAAGATGAAGATCTTGTTCAACACTGTCAAATTTGGTCTCTTTCTTGAATTGAAACGTTGTTGATGCATCCTTAGAACAATTCTTATCAGCAAAGAAATCCATTTCACTGACAACCCTTTTCTCTCCATGATCATCAAGAGAGTTGATAAACACCGTTCGATCACGTGGGCCGTCCATATTTACATGCAAGATCAAAATACAAACAACTTGATCTTATCTTCAATGGAGAGTCCCCCTCTTTTTCTCTGTCCAAAAAATATGAGTTCTTGAGAGTTTTGAATGTGTGTTGCGTGTTTGTATTTTAGGTCTTGGAAGTCTTATTAGAAGTTTCCGCAATTGACTTGGCTTTAATATGGGGTAATATTAACCATAAGACTTATGACCAGATGGAATGATCCATAGGAAATGGAAGAAAAAATGGAGTAAGGTAAGATGGTTCGTCAAGTATTGTACAGATGGTGGAGAAAGAGCCTACTCGGTGTCAGAAACGAGTTTGACTCGTTCTCACAAATTCACCTCCCCGATTCGCCCGGCGCATTCCACGACCGGGGGTGGGGAAGATAAATTTAGACCTATTTTAGGTGTTTCGTTATCACAATTATAAACCACTTCATTATTCAATTAAGGTTAGAACAATAAATGAAAAATCAAAAAAATATTTCATCTTCCATGACATTTATTCATATATATTTGTATTGGATGATTTTGGAATGTTAACTATCTTGTTCTTGCATTAAACAATGACTAGCATCAAGAATAGTTTAATTACCTTGAATATTGTATGTATAATTTAATTAACTTGAATATTGATTGCATTAATGTAAATAAATTAGGAAAAAACGATAGTAAAATTTATTATTTTAACTATATTTTCTTAATATGTGAAAAAAAAGAAATATGACTATTTTTATGGGATCGAGAGAGTATTTCTTTTTATTAATTGAAGTTTTTCACCTAAATTTTTTGCTCCTTAATTATTGTTCTTGATTGATCTCCTTGATATTTCTGAAGAAAGGTCTCAAAAATAAATATGAAAATAGACCTAATAAAAAATCAACTCACAGTTTAGTACGGCGACGACAGAAGAAATATAACTGTTTATTATTTTTCGTCATTTATTTTGCAATTCATTGACTATAAGGAACGTTAGTCTTGGCAATCAACTTCATTACATTAACTTAATACTTTCGAAGACGTGCAGATATTGTTTTATGATTTTCATTATAAAATGGAGAATCACATCTCCAGAAATGTAGCGTAGTTTCTTGAATACGTATGCTTGTTAATTAACTGTTTTTTTTTTTTTTTCATTTTTAATTTTAAACTCACAAATCACAATTTGATTAAAACTTATAGAATTCTCTCTCTTTTCAAATTAATGAGCAAAAAGAATAAATTAAATACCCGATAAAATATAGTAACTTCTCTTGCACGAAAACTTTTCAAATTTTGTGCTCGTGCGATCATTTCAGAAATAATTTAAATGTTTAGCTCTACTTAAAAGTTACTTCACTAAAAAATAATTTAAAAGCTTACTATTTTAAGTAATAGTTGAAAAGGTCTAATTTTGAAAGTACTCTAAAAATAAATAAGTAATTTTTCAAAAAAAAAATAAAATCATTGAGCTTTTAGTGTACATGTACAAGTATAGAAATTAAACAATTGTTACTGATATTATATTTACAATTTGAATTAAAACAAATAAAAAATAATAATAATAATAATAATAATTTCCAAAATAATTGACTTCAAAAGTAAATATATATCGCCCATGTCGGCATGGTATTGGCTCGATGGAGACAACGTGATAAGAGCAATCTATTTGTAAGAGGATTGACTCTAAATTTATATTTGGCAAGTGTTTATAAACATTTTAAATTATAAATATTTTTTATCAAATTACTTTTTATCTTCGCATTTTATAATACTACAAATATTTTCTACTCTTTCATCATCCATTACGAACACTTCTCAAACATATTATACTCATGTTTGCTTTTGCTAAAAAAAAAAAATTAGTTTTTATAAAAGTTGATAAAATTTGTGGATCTCATAAAATACGTTATTGAAAATGAGTTTTAAAGAAAAATAAATTTTAGAAAAGGGAGTTTTTGATGATGGTAACATGAAAAGAACAAGTTCATTTGTAGGTTTTTAATTTATTGTATATCATGGAAAAAAAATATCATTTATCACAAAATATGACTATAGTTTGTAAACATGGACCTAAATGTGAAATCATATCAAGTACATATTGTATTAAAGTATCACTATCGCATATTTTATGAAAATAATGAATTCAATAGGCACTTAAATTAAATAAATGTATTCTCAATATATTAAATTTTTAGATAATTAGTTTAACAAATATAGTAAAACTTCTATAAAATGATCGAGAAAAATTATTACTTTAAGAGAGTTATTAGTTTATCGTTAAATGAAATTATATACCAAACATAGATTGCGTGATAGCATAATAATTAATTTATTGATAGCTGAATAATTTATTAATTTATCGTAAATTACGTGAAGCTATTTATAGTCAATACTTTAAAAATGTGATCAATGTTGAACACCTCCTTGATTATCCAGTGAAAATGTTATGATGATGAAAACTTACTTACGAAGAAATTATTCAAAGATCGATGAATATTTTACCAACGATGATCATGATTTAGATTGTACGTATATTTTATCAATTGTTTTTTCAAAGTAACTCTTTCGTTCACTTCAATTTTAAATTGTTTTTTTTTTTCTACAAATGAAATACATATTTTCAGAAAAAATAGTAAAGGGTTCAATTATATTATTATAAAATTTTACTTATTTAATCAATTAAATGAAATTATTATCCTATGCAAATATTACAAATTTAGTACAAAGGATCAACTCAAGACCAAAAAAAAAAAAATTTATTATTTAAGTGAGGTTATTTATCAAAATTTTATTGTACGAAAATTATGTT